CATGCGTATATAAAATTTACTATTTGTTTTTACATGTGGGTGTTCTTAATATCATTAAACGGTTTAATTAAAATGATATGTCATTGTTACATATTATTCGTAATGTAATAAATGAAAAATACAGATAATGGGGATAATAGACATTAGGCAAGATGTTTTTATGCTTCTCGATAATTTACCATTATTATTTCTTGCTGCATTGAGCATAGGTAAAACGATCTCTATGGTGTATATGTTACCCAAGGTATGTTAACAAGACTGGCGTATTGGTCATGCTAATACGTAATGTTAAAAAAATAGTAATAGCATTACAAACAAATTTTATGGAATTGTATTTGGATGTACTTATAATTGTATTATGGATTGTACTTAAATACTTTCCTTGAATTATAGATAAAATTATTACTGATAAAAATACAAGAATATTATCTTTCCTCAAAAGCGAACGAGGAATCTAAGTTATATAACTCGCACGTGCTGTATGGACGAAACTTAAGCAGCGCTTATACATGTATGCAGGATGTAATAGTAATATAAAGTAATAATAAAGTTTTCAGCATATTTCTGCATTTGATCTTCTAAAATTCCGTCAAAAAGAATTTGGCATTTTACAATAATTCCAATTATCTTTAAAAAACGTTTAATTTTTTGTGATAATTATAACTCTTTATAATCATTAAACATAATACTTGATATTTTTTAAATAAATTAGATATTATACTTAGCCACAGCATTCTTTGGAATGTTACAATGTAATTGACAAAGCTTAAACGTACAGAAACCACAAAGAATGATACATTCTCTAACGAAATAGCCAGCGACCAAGTAGGAGTGCCATATCGAGTTAATTATATGATTGATGTTGAACATATTATGCTCCAATTTTTATTCACACGGCTGCATGCTGCGTATGTTATGTATTTCAGGAAATTGCCATCGATGTCCTGTATATAACACTGATCGAACACTGTCGCGGTTTGCTTGCAACTGTTAGGTGAGTCAAATAAATTTTATTATTTTACGAAATACAAACTCGAGTATATACAGCCTTCCAAAGTATTCATATTTAATTAATTTGTATCACCGTAAATTAATAAACAATTTATTTATTAAATTTAAAATGTAATTTCTTAAATTTTGGATAAATATATGTTTCAGATATTGTTTAGAAAATGCATTGTCCAAAAATAATGGTGATGTTTCGATAAAGATGTCTACGAGAGATCAATCTTACTTAAATGTGATATACATTGTTCGAAGGCATGCAGAAACAATACAGTATGTATATGATAATATAAAAATTAATAAATTAATAATATAAATTAATATCTTTATATATGTATATTACACGCCAGATTTATTAACCTTATAAATACAGTATTCAGTCCATCTGTCTTCCTACATATAGGATACGTCACATTATGTTTAAGTATTCTAGGATATCAGGTATTCATCAAGTATGATTTACTTCTACACAAATTCTCTAATAATTCTTTAATAAAATTAATTATTTAATTTAATCATTAATTATTACATATTATTACCTACTTATATGTTTTTATTAGCTACTAATAAATGTCGACAATTCTAATGATCTTGTAAAATATATTTGTTTTATCAATGCAATTATAATCAATATATTTTTTGAAAATTGGCAAGGTCAGAAAATTATAGACTCTAGCGAGAAAGTATTCGAATCCGTGTACGTACAATATCAACAATACATTTGCGAAATTACGAGCTATACAGACTCATAAAAATGTTACCATGTAATAAACAAGAAAACACAATGGTATAAATTGTGCGAAATTTTCAGATATAACACAGAGTGGTATAACATGCCGATATCTACAAGAAAGCTTCTTTTGATGATTATGATGAGAAGTATAAAGCCAATGGTAGTAACGGCTAGTAAATTCATGATACTATCATATATAACTTTCAACACAGTAAGTAAATTATTTTCTAATAATCAATATAATTTATAATCAATATAATTTTTGTTTATTATAAAATTGTATAGTACTGTATTATTCCTTATAAAAATAAAATTTTGTTTAAGATGATGCGTACATCAATGTCGTACTTCATGTTACTTCGGTCTGTGACGTAAAAGTTTTAAACATAATAAATACATATATATATTATTGTTCACTATACTTTAATAACTAGCCATTGTTAAATAAATACTTAGATAAAACTGAATTGTTATTTTTGGTATAGAGAAAGATTATTTTTAAACAAGGATTCCACATTAATTCATGAAAAATTATTATGTAAATATTTGAAGAAATTTTTGACAAACGTTATTTTGAAGAAAAAGAAGTGTGGTAGGTGTCGCCATGGGATGCATTTTAGAAGATAAAAAATTATTTTTCAAAGTAATAACACATGTCGCAAATTTTTTTAAATATTTACATAATAATTTTTAACAAGTTAATATAAAATACTTGTTTAAAAATAATCTTTTATTATAATCAATATATATACATATATATCAATATTAGAAATAAAAATCTCCTTTAAATGCAGTAAACGTAATTATTTTATAGTGATTTCTAATCAATGTTACAATGCTATTAAACATTTCTACATCATTTTTATATGTCTTATTTATCAGATAACTTTTGCATTATGTTTCCATATAAGATACATTTTCCCAAGACTTACTTATGTGCTGTCTTAATTTTTTTTTTCATAACTGTACTTACAAATGATAAATATCTGAAAAGATGATACGTTCTAAATTAGATATTGTACTCAATATGTGGGGTATCTCTCTTCGTGACGAATAAAGCTGATACATCAGTTTTAAATATTATAGAATTTTTAAGATATGCTTGAATTATTTCAGAATATTGTATCAATGTTAGTTACATAAAAATACTTTTTCAAAAATAATAAATACAAAAGATGTTAATCATATGCTAAAGCATGTTACTTAACTAGCTTCTTCTAAACACGTTCTTTGATATTGATTGATAAAAATTGATAAAATTGGGAAATGATAAATTACAGCAAAAAGTGTATGAATCTGCACACGTCTGATATAAATAAATGTAAGAATGTATCTTCAAAATTATGTAAATGTTTGTTGTAAATATAAAAAGTGTACTTCGTACGAAATGTACGAAGTAGTGCATAAAAAAATCAAATTAATTAAAAAATGTTACGACTTACAGAAACTATTATACTTTACTGTCACCAATGTGATAGATTCTTGAATTTAAATCTACATAAGCTGTATATGACAATGTTGAATAATCAAAGTGTCAAATTTCTATTACCAAAGTAAGTTTCTAATATTTTTAAATAATATTGTATACAAAATTTTTTATCTTTTGTATTTGCAACATCCTTATATATCAATTCCACATATAACTGTTGGAAATAAAAAATTTTTTCAATATTAAAAGTAGAAATAATATCGAAAATCAACGTCAATGTATGCAACAAAGCAGTAAGAGTTTCTTTCATCACTGTCGTCTTCAAATTTAATAAAGTAGCTATAGTCTGAACATTATTTATAATATTCAGAAAGAACCAGTATAAAAGATATTACTTTCAAACGTGTATAGTAACTACAGAATATAATCCGGCAATTTGTAGGAAACAATCTTTCGCAATCGATCGCAAATAACCCCTCGTGCTTTGATATCGTTCTTGCAGCATATGTGTGTTGACAATATCAGTTTCTGCGTATCACAAAGACGTACACACAGCAATTGTATTAAAGGAAATTCTGAATAGGAAGTTTATGTGCTCTACACCCTACGTCAATTCTCTTTTACAACAACCGCAGATAAAAGAAAATGAATAATGTTGATCGGTTTTTTCAGAGATCGCATTATAATATCATTCGAGTATTATTAAGTCTCTCTGGTACATGGCCCTTTCATACGGTAGTCAGACGCTACGTAATATACTTCGCAATAGCATTGGTGCTCGGATCCGGATACGTGTTCGAGGTACATTACGGAAAAATGTCTTGTCTTCAAACATTGAGATTATTTTCTAACTTATTACACTATGGAAATCGAATATTATTTCAGAAAATTATACCATGATATATGCGATACGCGTACACAAAAATTTTCATGCGTTTAACAAAATGATTTAAGATTAAACAATTTAATTTAAACTATATGTGATTGTTACGTAACATATTAATAATATAATCCATGGAAAATGCAGATAATGGGTATAGCGGAAATATGGAGAGATACCTTCGCATTAGTGGATTCAGTGCCGTTATTATTTCTTGGTATAGTGGGCTACTCTAAAGTAATCTGTGCGATATATACGTTACCAAAGGTACGTTAATAAAAGTGACGCAATTATTTTAACATATAATAATTAAAATAATAACAGTAAACTCGTAAAATAATTACGTAATCGTATTTAAATTATTCTCGGTTTGTAGATAAAAATACTTTTAATAAAAATGCAAAAGTACTGTCTTTCGCCAAAGTCGGATGAGGAATATAAAATACAACAGTCGCATGCATTGTATGGACGAAACTTGGGCATCGCTTATACGAGTAAGTTTAACAATTGAGTGTAATTGTAATATAATTTTATAGCAATAACAAATTTCAAACGTATTTTTATGTCCAATGAATAGTTTTAAAAGACAACTGGCGATTTATAATATTTTTTAAATATTTCGAAAAAGTACTTCACATTTTATAATAATAATGACTTTTTGACCTTAAAATAATAGTATTTTTGTATATAGCAACAAAATATATTTATAATTCTAAATTTCAAAAATTCCAAAACCCGACACTTTCATATAAATTAGGTATCGTACTTGGTCACGCCGCCCTTTTCGTATTTACAACAATATTAGGAGGATTCACTGCCAAAAAACCCAAAGACGGTGTTTCGTCGATAGCAAATAATCTCTATCCAGGAATACCCTATCGTATCAATTACATGGTTGATGTAGACACATATTTCATTCCAATCTGTATACACACAAATACATGTATTATAAGTGTTATGGTACTAATATGTGCATTCGATACCTTGTATTTATCACTAGTCGAACACTGCTGCGGTCTATTCGCGGCTTTAAGGTGGGGTTTGAGGAATTATTATTAACTTGTGAAATACGAAAATAACCGAACGTTTTACTCGTCGAGTGATACTTGCTTTAAGTCGTAATTTTTTTGAAGAATAATAATTACTTGGATAATAATAATAACCTTTAGATTTCGACTGGAGCACGCCTTCGAATTGGAAAATAATGATTCTATTTTGACGTGCACCACGACGTCAAAGAAAAATAAATCGTACTCAAATGTGGTGTATAGCATTCGGAGACACGCAGAAGCAATACAGTGCGTACAAATTGCATGTTAATATGGAAATATAATATTTTGAGAATAACCGTAATAAATTAATATGTTTACGCTTATTGCATCAGATTTGTTACAATTATGGAATCAACATACAGTATTCCTCTTTTTATACATATGGGATGTACCATGTTAGTGTTAAGTGTATTAGGATATCAGGTACTGAATTGTACTTGCAAAAAACTTTTTAAAAAGCTGTGTAATACCTTTTGAATATTTCATAAGACACGTACAGATCTTTGTAACAATTATTTAATAAAAATTGGATAATTATTAATTATCTAAAAAAATTAACAATTTTTACTTGTGATTAGCAACATATCATAACTTATATATTTCGATATCCTTCAGGTGTTAACGAACATGGGAAACCTTAATCTCGTTTTGCATCACAGTAGCTATTTGAATGGGCTTTTAATAAATCTATTTTTTGAAAATTGGCAAGGTCAGAAAATTATAGATTCCAGCGAGAAGGTGTTTGACTCCGCGTACGTTTTATAGAATATTGAGAATACATTTAGAAAATTACGAATTGTACTGATTTTTATTGTAAAAATGTAACGAATTAATCGGCAAATCAAATGTATGGAATAAATCTAAACTTTCGCAAACTTTGCAGATATAATACAGAATGGTATAACATGCCAATAATGGCAAGAAAGCTTCTTATAATGATCATGATGAACAGTAAAAAACCATTGATAGTAAGTGGCGGTCATAGATTCATCGTGATGTCATACGTAACTTTCAACGCAGTAAGTATAATTATTTTTTTAATTATCATATACCACTTCGTTATAAAAATAAAAATATTTTGTTTAAGATTTTGCGGATGTCGATGTCATACTTTATGCTATTACGATCTGTGTAGCATAATACATAATGGTTATATTTATATATTATCGTTTATCACTGCAATACAATATTTATCCATCATTAATTTCAATATTTGACAAGCACATCTTTATGCAGTTAATTAAGTCAATGCCGATTGTAAAAAAAATGGTTAATTTTTAAGTTAAAGAATTATTCTAAAGCATTCTAAAGCAAAAAAATTAATTTAAATTATTGTAAAACAAGAAATTTGCATTAATCTGTCACAAATTATTAAAAAGATAAGAAATATAAAAATTGTTTTATTTTCAATTACCGTTATTATTCTAAATATATTTTTTCATACTCTAAAGTTTTGGTAAATAAAAAAATATTTAAAAAATTAATATTAGACAATATATTTCCTAATAGATAATCATATACGTAATCGTACGTAATACACTAAAAATATAATTCTTTAACTATTAATATACCGGAATAAAATATTCGTAAGTCTTAATTACCAATAATATATGGAATTCAGTATGAATTTCAGTTGTTTGAATAGCCTCGCAAAAGCTTTTGATAATGATCATGATAAGGAGCAACAGGCTATTGAAGATAACTATGAGGAAGATCTTCGTCTTTTCGTATATGAATTTTGGCTCGATGATTATAATAATTCCGTAAGATAAATGTGTGATTTTGCTATCAATAATATGAAGTTTTATTTATGGTAATGACTACAGCGCTCTCGTATCTTATGCTTCTATGGTCTATGCAGTGAAGACTCGAACGCCATAAATAAATTGGAAGATGTTTATGTGGCTAACGTGATTTAGTAATTAATTTATTAACTAGAAGATACATACCTTGTTATAAACTTTGTATCTTTCTTAGTATTTTTCAATTTCAAGTATTTTCGCAGCTAAATAAAACTAGGGAAAATCACAACTGTTAGACTCAAATATTTGCTTTTTTCATAAATAATATTGTGCCAATAATATAACTGCCAAACATTTAATGCCAAAATATATTTCGGTTGTAATTTTGGTCACGCGTCATTTACCATCGTCAAGTGACAAGTAATTCAGAATTTCAACCAACGTCCTGTAATTATTTATAGTTATAACTCACGAGTTGTCGAGGAAATGAGTGTGAGAAGATCTATCAGTTGTAACTGCTGTCATATAACAACCATTGAGCTGTAATACGCTCACTGCATAGAACAGAGGACGGTGAAGTAAGAGAACGACGTGCGCATAACCTTCAAAGAAAATAATACGTCAACATTCGCGGCGATGCGGTTTCGAATTTCATTTGAGAAAGCTCTCTTACGGCAGAGAAGTTCTGCAAATTCAGCGCGTACAGCTTGCCCGCAGTTATTCTAATTGGCACGTAACTTTTCAACAGCATAATGCAGATCACTTTCCTCACGCTCAACGGAGACTGATACCACTGTCCATCGGTTCTGAAAGACCGATGAGAAAGACCGTCAAATTATTTCTTTGTTAAAAATGTCATTTAATTGATTTCAAACAAGTTTTTGGCAAGTCTGTGCTCGCGATTGTACGTGCCGAGTGCGTTAGTAATAACTAACTTGTTTTATCAGCTATCAATAATTTTTAAAACAATAATAAGACATATCATTTCATACATGTATCTAAAAATTTTATCAGTGTAATCCGACAATTGCTGGCCCGGCCAGCTTTCGAGAAAGAGCACGGAGAACAAGGTCACCGTGAACGATGCGTATCGCAGAGCTTCCTTTGGATCGGTCAACTTCACCACCGCCTAATCGTAAATATAAATTTTTTTTCATACTTTTATGTGCAATTACAACTGTCTAAAAAAAGATATGCTCTAATCTTACATTATTACGATCTTTGAAAGATAGTGCAAATTTGATAAACGTAAAATCTCTCAATATCGACATCTATAATTAAGCTACTTTTTTTTCCTGCAATACTAACCTGGAATATTGTAAAAGTCATGCCCATCATATTACAACCTAATTGAAAAAAATACGATGTCGTATTCGCATTCTCGATACATTTAGCGTACCTTGATAGGCGAAAAAAATTGATAACATTTATTAATAAAAATGTATATGTGTGTGCTAAAGTAATTTTTAATTCAAACAAAATAATTGATAAATATGTAGAAAATTAAATTGAATTTAATAAGATCGATAAAATAATGTAAATTGATTCAAATATGTACTTTCACTCTAACACATATATAAAAATTTGTTAATGTAAAAAAATATAAGATAATTTAGATGTACTAACTCTATTATGTGGTTGTGCATGATCACACAACTCTTAGCACGTTTGTACGCCGTATCCTCTTCTCTAGATGGATACAAATTTATGTCTAAAGTAGTTGCTTCAACAATCCGCGCTAGCCGATATCTAAAAAATGCTCATTGAGATGAACGTATCTTAAGCATAAATTGAGTCCAAGAATGTTGAAATGTAACTATATGATTTCGGATGAGTCTTAATATTAAAATTCAATATCGCTATCTCTATCGTATGATTGTACATGATTTCATATTTATCCTTACGATGAGATGTTGTATGGATGACATGAATTCGGGTAATATATATATATATGTATATTTATGCATTAAGAAGACGTTCATGACCAATGACAAATATTTATTACACAATCTCCCTCTCTCATTCAACAACAATCAATTTACACGACACAGAATGCATATCCTTATATCAGATTTATAAAATGTAAGAAATATGTATGTAACAGTATGGAATGTTGAGCATGAGATGAAATCGCTGGATTTTTCTCGCAAAAAACATATAACTACGAATTCTTACGCGCGATAGACACATGAGAAGTGCGTTTCGAATGAGAATGTTGTTTCAGTCTTACAAAGTGCTATTATTGCGGAGTTACCCTAGGATTTCGCACATGCCGCATTCGTGCTGGACGTGAAACACCAACATCGAGTCAATCGCCACGACGATCGAGACGAAGCCGAGGGTGCCGATGTACGAGTGCACCAGTAACGGATAGTAATACTTCTGGGAATCTAGAAAGTATTCCGTGCGGAACATCAAAGGTCTATCGTCAGACATGTTGTACAGACCCATATAATTAGCTGTGTTTAATAACACTGGCACGAGGAGAAAGGGAGTCATTGAGCCGTATAGAGAGACTGTAAATAATGTATCAATCAAGCATCGCACTCCCTAGTTGTATAATGGGGTCGCACCCCATTTGTGCCTATATCGTTTTGCCTATACACGCAATGTTAAATCGCTTCGTTTAAAATCTAACTGTATTAAAAAGATATTGAAACACTTCGTTTAAAATCTGACTATATTAAAAAATTTAATTATTGTATTTAATAAATTCTACATTTGTATATAAATTTTTTTTGTATATTGAGCTTAATTTAACCATAGAATTTATGCAAACTTTATCGAATTTTAAATCTTCAATATGATTTTTACCTGCATAAGCAATCGTGACTTTTCTGCCCATCGCATAATTCCTACAAAGGATATTGTACTCGTTGCTAAACTTTGAATAAATATTCCAATCCTCCACCATTACAACAGCGAGCTTCTTCATCTACATTTACGAATACGCTTAGTATCGTGTGGCAAAGATTACCCGCATTTTTAGAAACATACCTGCTCATGATTGTATGTATAATTAATGTGTTTGAAGATGCACATTAGACTAATAACAAAAGGTGACGAACTCTCCATAGCCGCGTCAATATCACCTGCGCGCCAAGCGGTGATCATGCCGCCGCCCTATAAAAATCCTCAAAATTTGCGAGCTTTCGGCTAATAAAAAATTTAACTAATTGTAAGATCTCATAAATGTTGTCTTCAAAATATAATACGTATATTTCGTGATTTCAAACTCTTTGAATCGCCGTTGAATTGCTGAATCAAATCGCTGTAACTCGGCAAAAAATCATCGCAGATCAAAAATAGAAAAAAGCGTTTTAAAGTTTGAAGCTTGTACGTGCTATTAAGCTATTTTTTGAAAATTTTTTATCTTTATGCTTCTGAAACCGAAAAAAGAACACGCTGTTTTGTTCTTTAAAATTACGTACCTTCGACACTCTGCAGCTCAATAATAAAATTTTTTTCGAAAAATTCATGACAAGTGACAAAAACTACGACTCTTTACCTGCAAAATGCGTGTTTAAAAATGTTCCTACAATTTTTTTTGTCCGAGTTATGCGAATTTGCAGATAAACCTATATTTTCACGCTAATGCTACTATTGATACAATATAGGATAAAAATTAATTAATTAATTAAATTAATAAAATTATAATTAATTAAATTAATATTAATTAATTAATTAAAATCTACTTTTCTTACTATTCAGCAGAAATTCGGGAAAATTTACCTGGAGGACCGCTTGAAAGAAAACCGCGGGCACGAAGACGATTTGAATCAAAAATTTTTCCCAGTTTTCCTGATAAGGCCACTGACCAATGATGCACATTAGAAACTGATTGATACGCATATATTGCCCTTGAACACTATCCATCTTGACTGCTCCGCGGCAGGTATCATACTGAGCTTGTAACCAAGAGGAAAGCGCCACATGCGGGGAGAAATTCACCGGCCTCGTTAGGCATTCCCTTTGGACGGTGCGTAATAGAAAAAAATTGTACCGTGAAATCAAATCGGTATCATATAACGTTCACGAGGCATTTCAAGAAAGAAATAAATTCTCGAAACATCATACACATCTTTTTTTTGCAACAAATGCAATACACAGAAGGGGTTAAGCTAAATGTCGATTTCGTAGAAAGTTAAAAGTACATATACAACGCTTCGCTTGAATTTCCGCTTGTTCCTTGTACAAGATTTTTCAGTGTGATTTTAACTTGAATTCTTTTCTTTTTTTTTCTTTTTTATCGTAATAACGTGATTGTGCAAGAGTCAGAGAGAAAATTCGAGAGACACGAGATATACGAGCTACTAAATCAGATCATATTGTTTTGAATACAATTTGATTTTTCATCTAATTATTTCATCTATTATTTTTCATCAGATTAATTATTCTGATAAAATTCAATATTAAAATACTTGTTGGAGAAAATGTTGCTGTATAGAAAAATACATTTACGACGGTACGTATGATGTGACTGTAATGCGATTTCAGTTATATAGTTCACGTTTAAATTTTAATTCAATTTTATGTTATAAAACTTTTATACAATATCAATAGAGAGTAACTGTGGCGATCTTTTCCGTTTCAGGTCAAAATATCTAGCTAACCGTTTTTGGTTGCCGTTTCTTGATATCATCGTCACATCAAGCTTCGAAAAGAAGGATCCATTATTTGGCTGAACGTAGAAAAGTGAAATACGATACAGCAGTTTTCACAATCTTAAAGAAGAACGGCCAACATTGTAAGTAAAATATTTGAATATAAAATTAATATAAAATCGATACAATCAATAATTAATATAGAAATATTTAATAAAATTTATTGTGGCGTATATGTAAAATTTATTTATTTAAATTAAAATATTTGTTTTTCATTTAGCGATATAAAATTTTGCATGAGAAAATAAAATATGTGTCGTTAACGCGAAATCGTATTTGCAAATTGATCAGCATTGTTACCTACAAGTTTGCGGTGAATATCTTACCGTCGCGAATGTTTCCATGCATAAAACAAACATACCACCGGCCGTTAAAACGCAAGGTGGTTGAGTTTTCATCATCATAAAAAGAATAAGCTTTCTAGTTCTAGGCGATGCATCATACCAGTTCAAGTTTATTCTGCAATTATAATAAAGCTTGCTCACGCTTTATCTGGTCCTATTTTCAAATTCGTATTAATCTATTAATCTATTCGTATTACTCTATTAATTTCTATCGTTACAATTTCTGCACGAAACATTATCACCGTCCACAATTTAATATTAATTATTTTGCAATATATTTCAAAATATACATACAGATTAATGTGAAGATATCCACTATAATCTATTAATCTCTGAGCATTCATACATTCAAAGCACAGATGAAATAGCAATGCCCACGAGACTGCCACTAGTCTAAGAAGCTCAGACGGATCGTCCGATTTTGACACAGCCTAAACGACATTGAATTAATTGTACTAGAAAGTGATTAAATAATTTTTATATAAATAATGTTTTAAATATCAAATAATCTAGGTGAGCGTAATAAAAGCTACCTCTTTCCTTTTTTTTCAATGAATATCAATTTAAGTTTGCAAAAGTATTTATCGCTTAATCATCAGTCTATTATTTAATTAATAGACTGCATTATTACAATAAATAAATGCGAAACGCACATACCCCAACACCTGTAATGCTCATAGCCACCATATTCAATCCAGCATGGAACAGAAAGTGCTTAGAATACGTGAGTTCCATAAGATCGACAAACCTTGGATATATCGATGGAAATGTAATACTTCGCGACACCACAAAAGTTAAACAATTAATTATATTTACGCAAAAAACTCTCCGAACTTTATATTCCAAAAGCAGAAAATTTAAGTATCTTAACACATTGACAACCGGCGTTGTGAAGAATAGCGTCACGGCGTGATTTTACCTAACCGGCTGTCAATATGTCACTAAGTTATCTTAGAATTATAAAAATCTATCAGATCATTCAAAATCTATCGAATTTTTTAAATAAAGCATAAATTAACTAATGGAAAAAATTATACTGCTAATTAATTTTATCTCTTCGTATATTTATTTTCGTAATAAAGTTTATAGAAGAATACTTTTGAAACGCAAAGATTTTTTAAACAATCTTGATACAAACGACACAAACCTTATAGCTGCTTTATGATCGTGGACACATTGTACCATATTTCGATACGCTTTGTCTTTCATAATGGGAGGATTGTCATTTCCGGTGAAATATTCCTCTTGTATCGCTCGTTCTATTCGCGATCTTCGAAAGTAACAATATAAATTTTACAAGAGAACTATTCGTAAAATCTTTTTCCACCCACCGCTACATACCCAGTCATAATCAATAGCCCGCAAACGTGCTGCACAAATATCACAAATATCGCATCGGCCGCGACGATAGCCGTAACGCAAATCACAACGGTAAGGTATCCGTGAATCAAAATTGGAAAGTAATATTTATCCATGTCAATGTAATATTCGACTCTGTGCAGCATTGGCCGGGTCGTCTCGTTAGTAACATGAAGAATTAATTCTTGGAGAGGCATCATCATAAATACTGACGTTAGCGTAAACATCACACCTGAAGAAGTGTTATTTAAATATAATCATCCAAATTAACTAAGTAAATACAAAATTTTTTTTTCTCCACCCATTAATTACTCACAAACATAAATAGTCGAAAATTTCTTGCCATTGTCCGCGTACTTTTGCAGAATTTCTATATCTTTAGATCTTCTTACGGAATGAAAATCACATCGTATTCGATCGAGCAATGCCCTTAGCTATAAATTTACTTGTGCAAATTATTTTTGAGTAAACATTTTAATTTATAATACATGTTTGTAATTAATGTTACAAAAGAATTTAAGTAGATGAACATATTACGTAAAACAAGTAGAGATAATTAATCTGAAATGCATTATGAATAAGACAATCTCGAATAATGACAAAAAATAATCTAATTAAACAAATAGCTTTTTGAAATAGAAAATAGCCAGAGAATCTAAACGATAAACTATAAAAAAAAATTAAATTTATAAAACGCGGTTGTCCGTGCAATATGTTATAATCCAATAATTATTTAAATTATTACTTTTTAATGATACGTTTTATATACTGACATTATTTTCAAGATGATCCCACCTACCTCATTCACGCATAACATGGAATTCATTATTTTCGTCATACCTGATATATCAACCATAATCGGAATAAGGCATTCGATCACGATGTCCATGTCGTGAATATAAGATAACATACCACATATCTTGAATGGATAAAATATGTCAATTTTGAAGAATCAAATCTATGTATTTGTTTCATCACTTCACAGCCCTTATTCGCTACGAGAACTGATGGATTTATTTTTTCGAGCAAAAAGTTAACGCGCGCTAGAACATTAATCACCGTTATACCTTCGTGAAAAATTGCGTACAAGCTATAGCCGCTATGACGATAACTATAGTGCGGCTTGTCTTTGACGATTGATACGGCCACTGGCCAATTGCTGATAGCAGAATTTTATTGACTCTATAGTTGCGACCGTCAAAGAAGTCCATTTTGCTTAAGTTAACAAAGCAGTACGGACACTTTGATCCCTACCACATCCACCAGTCACGTACAATATCTCGTAGTATTAACAATTCCTTGTGTAACTTGGTCTCAAAGTAATTGGACCAATTAAAGACTTATAGTCGATATGTATGATTGTAGAAACATATACACGCAATCTTACAAATGATGTTCGTTACTTGCAAAATTAAATCAATGCAGTTTCCCTAAATTTGTCAAATTATCTATCATTTTGATTAAGAGTATCAATTTTCATAATAGTTCTTTATCTGGCATCGTCTTGCTCCGCGCATAGAATTTCTGTTACTTTATTACGTGCTGCTGAAATGTGTGGTGTCTCTGAGTGCGAAAAACAAGACAAAGAGAGCATAATATTATGTATCGATGATACACATTTTCAATCAGAGAACTATAGCAAAGATTTCCAAGAAACAGAGAATGCCGAACACTATATCACAAATGTGGAAGATTATGTACGTATTGTTACTTGTCGCACATTTTTATAGAGATATTTATAATTATTGAATAAATTGTGTGGTGTGTCTAACGATTGTTACGTCTGTGCATTATGTAGTTGCATAATTTCCGCGATGTTCAGCCAACACAGTGCAGATTTATACGTGTCGTATAGCCAAACATCTTTCAATAATATTATAATAAAATATAATAACGATAATTATTTTAGTGAAATATTTAAAAAAGTCATCTTCGCAAAGTACTTTTAAAATAACGCAAATAAATGCTTCAAGACAAAGCACATATTTTAAATACAAATTATATTATAAAATATACTGAAAACTAATCCGCAAAACAATGTGAAATATTAAAATGAAAAGTTTAATAGCACGCCTACAGGATTTTGCCACATGCTTGCGATGCCATATGGCTGTCGGAAACGATTCGGTTTTGAGAGCGGCAGAGTGCCGAAACTGAAAACAGCAACAGTCGATCTATCATACGCTCATCACACGCTCCACCCTTCAAATGAGGTTTCTAATTGGATGCGAAATTAAGTACAAGCTGACGAAAAGTTAATGGTTATATGACAAGGGCTTTCAATCGTGGCTGTGTCAAATTTATCCGAGATCAGAAAAATATATCGCTGTGAAATATTTGCTGATACATTTCTATGATTAATAGCTCAAATAATAAATAGCGAAGACATTTCGAAAAAAAAAAAGTTAACAATTCGTCATTGTTTACGTTGGATGTGTTTAAATGTCCACTCGATAATATCGATTAAATTACTTTGCTCACCCGATTGCAAGGTGCCTTTCCTTTCCAATGCACTCGAGTTCCTTTCCCCTCGACTTCTTTATCACGGAATCTCCCGCCTTCGGTCACTAGCACTCTACGCCGTCCCCCCCCCCACCCCAAGCTATATCGCGATTCTTAGTACAAGGATATTAAAAACTTCTTATCAACGGCATCGCCGCATAAGAGAGACAAAATTAACTTTCACCCAACACCATTCCGTTTTTATTTCATTTGCAACGAGGAAATCAAAAGACAGCTGCGTGCCACTTTCAATAAAAAAAAAAAAACCGTTTAATTTTCTTAAATATCAATATTTCATTATAATCTTCAACACTTTGCATTAACGTTTCATCATCACGCTATTTTTCACGTTTCTGCTAAGAAAACTTGATAATTCACATTTTTATTAATAATTAATATTTATAATGAATATTTAGAGTCATTATACTATTCATTTTGGCACAAATAAAAGTAAAAGATACGATCTTGAGAATAAACTTCAAGCTTTGGGTCATTACGTCACAATTCTTGGCCCTTTTAATGTCAACGCGTTTTAATCTTACGACCGGGTTCCGAATACAAGGATTTCGGTTCGGATGCAATCTCTCTCGAGGGGCTTCCTTCCGGCGCCGTGTGTATCTCTTTATCCTGAGATCTCCCGCCCTCGGCTGGCCGACACCTTGCGGCTCTTCTCGTTATGCGACTCGTAGACGAATGCCGCCACGCGCGCCGAGTCTCGACTCGTTCCGTTCTGTTCCGTTTGAGGGGTAGATCCCCGTAGGAGATGGATATCGTTAATTGTCTCAAGGCAAATGGTAGTGGTAGTAGCACGCGAACGTTGTATCCTGCTACCTTTCTTCCCCTTCTCTTTCTGTCGGCTTTCGCATTATTTTCCGTCGGCGAATACGATTCTTCTACGCGGTGTCTGTGTTTCATTACGGATCGATAGTGATTAGTATTGTATGGAACAATCCCACATTTTTGGCAATGACGTTTTATAAAATGATGCATATGTCGTAGGATATTTTGTGACAGAAATTATTAAATATAATCCACATATCAAAGATGAACGATAATGGAAAATAAACTTTTAGTAATATCTAATGCTTTCAACGTTATCGAAAATTGTACAGAATTAAGAATGACACGATTTATAAAGACGATTTCTATTGAAACTTGAATGTCTTGACAAATGGAACACCTTCTATACAAATTCCTTTACATCGCGGTCGTTCACATTATCTTGAGAACTTTTAGAATTTAAAAGCCACTCGATCCTATCGATGCGTCCTTTCTCCTCACTCGGCGCCTTTTAATCCTGTTAGCGATGCGGGCCTAACAAAACATCAGTGGCATCGAAAACTCCGATTCTATCTGACATGATAACAGGTAGCGTGATTGATACAAGAGACGGTGAAACCGTACCACTTAATTCTCATTTAATAGGATCCTGTCTAATCCTTAGAAAAATCGATGAAAGTATACGCGGAATCATCATCTTATTACCACTTCAATCGATATACTAATCCTCTAACTCTAACACCGAGATAGATTTACGTAACATATCGATCGTACCTTTTTATACACGATATTTTGAAAGAAGAGAAAATTGCAATTAAATATATTTCGAATTTGCAATTTTGCAGACTCTTATTTTACTTTCAGATTAAAGGCGACGGAAAACCGCGTTCGTGAGGATCGTAATGTCCGGTTCCCTCTCCCTACGTCTTCGTTGTTCCTTTGACGCTACCTATACGATGGTATAATATGGCGCATATAGTTATTACAGTGGCACGGCTTCTATTGTGAAAGCATCTGTCGCTTCGCCGACATCCGAATGCCGACAGTGAAGAAGGAAGAAAGGCGGGAAATCGGAAATTGAGAAAATTCATTTCCGCGTGTCGTCCGATCGAAAAAAATATCGCCGCGATATTGTAATGGAACCGTCATCCGTGTAAGTTTTCGATAAACTCAACGTATAACATTCAATCCAATCAGACAAAATTTGGCAAACTTCTTCATCAACTATAATTTTCGTCGAGTATAATTAATAATACATAAAAATAAAATTCCTAGTTCCCCCTCACACCGTCTGTTTCACGGTAGCGTCTCTCGATTACCGCCGTGCATTCATCGATAATGATAGTAAAGTTCATTGTTCTCGCGAAAAAAACGTCCGCAAACGGTTTTTTTTTTCTCCCTTTCAGGCCGCCGACCGCATCTTGGCGAACCGCGGAGGTAGGACGGGCTCGCAGTGCGGGCGTGCCTGCGGAGCGGGCATCGAGGAACCTGAAGAGAAGAGGGGTAGGTACAGGAGGAACCCGAATGAGCCGCAGCCAGGTGTACGTATCGCCCATAGGGATAGGCAGAAAACAAGGTGGGAACCATATGTTGATCTGCTGACGGACGTTCTGGCACGCGCCGGGCGCACTCAAACTCGAGCCTTTACATCGCGAGGATCGGGACTGCGGTATTCACCTTGGTGTCCTCTTGACACCGACCTGATCGAACGCCCCGACGGCACGGCCTGGATGTTTCTTTTTCACGTGCACAAGACGCGACACAAGGAACGCAGTGAACAGAGACTAAAGTCGAAATTAGCGCGGGAGATTGATCGGATCAATTTCGTATAGGTGATGTGTCGAATAGGAAATCCAATGTTTCTCAAGAGGAACCTCCGTCCTATTATTGCACCGGGTGTATTTCATTAGGTGTAAAATAATGAAGTAATTGATAAACGAAAATGGTGATCATATCGCGACTATAAAAGTAACAAAGAACCCGAAGAGAACATTTTAGAATCATTTTGACTCCAGTGTGTAGATGAATATAAATAGCTGCGTTAACAAATTTGATGAAATGCTTGACTTCCAAGGTGATACGAAAAGATGTTTCGATGAAGAAAGTAAAAAAATGTCAAGAAAATCTCGCTTGTACAAAAAATAAAATCTTATTTGTACAAAAGGAACGAAGACCTGCTACGAAATTCATCTTGTGAAGAAAGGATTGCTTCGCACTTCGATCAATCAATTGTCTCTCGATCACATTCTCATCTGATAAAATAATTTCTATCACCTAATCATGGCACTACTATCAAATCATCACTGCAGCTATCAGAGCGCGCAATCCGATATGTTAACACCCACGTACGCGAATTCAGCGAGAGCCTATGACCACCACTTGTACCCGTCGCCGTACAATTCCCCGAATTACGACTCCACCAGAATAACGTATCGAGACAATTGCACGCACGAGAGCGAACTTACGCCGCGAAGAGAGATCAAGACGTTGGATTACGCCAAGGACACAGTATCGGAATACACAAAGACTCCGGAGGGATACGAGCGAGGATCCTACGGCGTCCTGACGCCTGTCACTCCGCAAAGGTAAAGACGTACGTTTAGTTTACGCAATTTCGCAAATAGATCGATATTGAAGATTAATTGAAGATTAATAGTCAGTGAATGTCAGTAATGTTATTAATAAACAATCAATGACCTATTTTTCTCTCCTGATTTATATTCAAAGAGCTTATGACAATTTTTGCAAAAATTACACCTTATCGATTAATCCTTAATTCGTATATTTGGGAGCGAAAAATTTTGAAACATATAAGAGTTCAATTTTAATTTTCTCAAATATATGTTAAAATCAAAATTATCGAGATTACTCGATTAGATTGATTAAGAGTTTATTTTTGCAATTTGCAGATACGAGCCGCCGCATTCGATAGATCATACAACATCGCCGCGATCGACGTTGTATGAAGAGAGCTCAATGGATTATCAACCACCATCATACTGTTACGAAACCCCTCCTCAGGAACCGAGATACCACTCCCTCGAGAGCACCAAGCCGATTCTCGCGATCGTCGAACCTCGCGTCAATTGTTGGGAGCCCATCATCTCGTCTCAAGTAATCACAATTATCAATTAATTTTTTCGTAAAAATCAATTCTAATTAAAATTCAATAAACCTTCCAATTGTTACTCTAAACATAGCTAGTAATTAAATTCTTGCAATGTAGACGGCATTTTCGATTTAATGTTAATAATCGAATAAATTTCAAATTTTAAAAATGTACATCAAATACGGCGATTCGTTTCTGATCAAATCACGAACTTTTGTCAGAAAATGCCAACAACACCACCAGTGAGTCCGCGAAAGGGCAGACGGAGATCGCGCGACGTCCCGCCATCGCCGACGGTGCTAAAACGCCGGCGACTAGCCGCAAACGCACGTGAGCGACGTCGAATGAACGGTTTGAACGACGCCTTCGACAAATTGCGCGAAGTCGTGCCGAGCCTCGGTACCGACCATAAGCTCAGCAAGTTCGAGACCCTACAAATGGCACAGAGTTACATCGCCGCTCTATGTGATCTACTGCAAAGACATGACAGCAAAAGATAGATGAATCCAAGTTGAAAAACGCAAGTACCGCTTTACTTTCTCTGAATGTCCTAATTTGATATTTTATTTTTTTGAAGATAAATAAGATATTGATCCCAAAAATCTCACCATAACAAATCAAAATCCATCCGATGCAATATTGATCTAATAAATTTTTCTTTCTTGAAGAAATTAATCTAGATATAATTAAAATAATTTTCTTAATTTTAAGATTAATTTCCTCAAGTTCTTAACTCGCAGCAAATAAATTAGATCACTATTACATTAAACTCTTTAGTTCAAAATGTTAAAAAATAAGTTATTAAAATTCAACATACTAGAATTGAGATAATTCACGTAATTGATCGCATAAAACACAATCGTGGACAATTCCTAGCCAAAATTAATGCTAAATCAAGCAACAATCAACGCACAAATCATATTTCAATAAATATCCAAAGATGTTAAGCTATTTTTTATAACAAATGTTGTCAAGACTGTTGTAATAAGACTGAACTGCAAAACCAACATGTAAAGCATTATTATCACAATTTAATGTGAACAATAATGATGTGTTATACTCGATAAAGTTAAATAGCGCATGCCTTACTAATGATTACTTTCATTATTATTAAATTGGCTTGACTAGAAGCGCGTTATTTCATTACGTTTTTAATATATAATATGCTAAAAACTTTTGCAAACACATATATGCAAAATATTCAATCGTGTCATTCGTTAATAGCAGATTTCTGAGATCATTTGGAAATGAAAATCTTTATACCATAATGTCAAGACAATAATATTTAAATGTAAAGTAAAAGTTGATTAATTAGATTGTCAAAAATTCACATACTTATGTACGTCGCATATTGATTTTCATATCCTTATCATAAAATGCGTAATATGAGCAAGAATTTTTGACAATCTGATTAATCAACTTTAAATACTTCCCATTTAAAAACCATTGCAGCCTCGACATTTTTATATAAAGATTTTCGTCTTCAAATAACCTGAAGAATCTGCTATTAATGAACAATTAAGAGGTTGGTCTGGAACACCTTGTATATTTTTTATAGTCTAATTTAAAATATTGTTTATATATTTTGATGTTAAAGAGCTAGTCTTAACATCGGAGCTAGCGTTAAACTACATATAAACCTGCATCTCAAACGCAACAAGAAATATGTGTGTGTGTGTGTCTATATTTTATAATATATAGTTTAAGAAACGGAAACAGCTAAAGATCCAAAGACTAAGCATGTTGATAGCAAAAGAAGCCCACCGGCAGTTCTAAAGATATATTAGATGCTATATACTTGTAATAAGATATAATTAATATATTAAATCATTCACATTGTGTAATTTTAGTAAAAACTAAAAATGTAATTATTTAAATATTTGTTAAAAATATCGAAGAAAATAGAACATTGTAATCATTATATCGTTATATTATTTTATTAGTCATGAAAGAAAGGGAGAAAGTTTTTATAGAGGTAGCAGAACATTTTGAAGATAAGATAAATGCTATTCTTCAGCGAATCATCACATTTCTGTACCGTCCATTGTAAATTTGTAATTATACTGTCTAGTCAAGATTATATTCAACTTTGATTATTCTTAAATGATAAGCGCCAAAGCGCGCCGCGAAGCAAGAAAACGTATTAAAAAATTATGACGAAACAATTGCGTTCGAAGACTTACTGTAATCGTCCAAAGATTTTTATAAGTAAGAAATGTTATGTGTATACTGATAAAAATAAGCAGATACATCATTAGAGTTCGTAAGAGATCAATATATCTATTACATAATGCAGATAAGTAAGATTAATTGTACCAAATAATAGTATGATTTTGTACACTGTTGTAAATAAAGTATTGTGTTCGCAAGAGGAAAATTGAATAAAAATGCTTCTGTTAATAATAACATTTTCTGCAAAGAATAACATAATCGATTGAAGGATCTATAAACAGTCGCCATCTCGTGTTATGAACGAAAACTACTTGCAGGAGGAAGATATAAAAGATTAAGGATAGTTTCATTTTTGGTGCAAAGTATTAGTTTGCAAAACATTAGTTTTACAATAATATAACTCTCATGGAATTTGGTTCCGTTATCAATGTTGTGTGTGAGACAAAAAAATACCGTTAATAAATGTTAACAGTGTTAGTAATAATTTAATATTACTAATACTAATGAAATGACAGGTGTCGAAAATAAACATGAGACTAAATAAAATAATGTTTCCTGTTTCTCGCAATCAGTATAATATGATTATTATTTCACGATATACAGTGTCCTATAATTCGAAATAAATCAAATAAATCAAGAATTAAAATAAATAATTAACAGAAAAGTTCTAAAAAAAAAGTAAATTAAAAAAGTCTGCAATTTCTTAATCCAAGCAATAGTTTTTGAAATATAAGAGTTTAAAATTGGCTAATTAGGTTCTATGAAAGCGATAGCTTATCTCTGAGTCTTGCATATGACAGTATTAGTAACTCATAGACAGGTGGTTGCTTAACCGTAGAATCTAATTGAATTTTAAACTCTTGTATTTCAAACACTATTGCTTAGATTAAAAAATTGCAAAAACATTTTTTATTCAATTTGTTGAGAACTTTTCTGCTATAATATTTTGATCCACGAGTTATGAAAAACTGTATATGTTCAAGAAAAGAAAAGAAGAAAACTGACTAACAGATGATTTTGCTTTGTTTCAATTATTTTAAACCATTATTATCTTAAATCCCATTATTTTAAACCGCATCCGCTATGTCAATTCGATAAGATTAAAAAGAATGAATCGCTATATTCATATTGTCTTTTGCGGTCTTCCGGTCATCTCGTGCATAAACGTCGATTTTCCGGTTCTGCACGCGGGCGCGTGACCGGCACACGCACTTGTTGCTCACCTTTCCGTTTCCCCTTGAAAACTCTCACTCTCTACAAGTCCCCTTCCGGATACGAACGATTCACGTGCTTTCGTGCCTTCATTATTCTCGGTTTTATCATCACGCACTTTCTTTAATAACAGTCGCTCCTCTTTCAAAACGGCATATACATATATGCCGTATATATATATATATATATATATATATATATATATATATATATATATATATACATACACATATATATATACATATATATATGTATATATATATTTATGTATTTATTGCAAAATATTTTTTGCAATTATCATGAGAATTCTTTATATCAGGCAGATGTTACTCCATAATTTCGCTCTAATTACTCGCGGTGTGTTTTGTTCTTTATTTATTTTGAAACGACCGAACGAATGTGAATTAATATAGCGTTACATACACAATTGACAGCTGTCGCTGATATTTGCGGGACGCATTGTTCGCAGCATATATTATGTTAAAACGTACAATTATTTATTTAAAACAACCGTTATATATCTTACATCAAACGATTCTATTCATTATTGAGTTAATAATGTACTATTACTGGATGTAACAGAATAAAACGTGCACAGAATGTACATTCAAAGAAGATATGATTATACTATAAAAAGAATAGAAAAACTATTTGTGCAAAAAGTTAACTTCTTGAGCTAAATATAATAAATAAGATTTTTATATAAATTAAATTAATTCGGAAATAACCTTATTTTTTATTTTATTCCTAATTTTTACAATTATAAAAAATTAAATATTTTAAATTACAATTGTCGCGAGCTAAAACCAACGACACTAAAATAAAAAGAAATATCGATCCTTTCTTTTAAACGGCTTTCCGTGCGCCGTATGTCGAATTTCAGTAAAAGGGAATGTCACTCATGCCGGACGCTTGTCGAACAGCGTCGGAAACGAACCGGACAACATTCCTCGCGGCGATCTCGCCGATGGTCCTAAGAAGGCGATAAAAGCCATCGAAGATGGGGCACGAGGGGGGAACGTAGTCGCGAAACGACACACAGTGAGATGTCAGGACGATGCGTACCTACCTACGCGTGAGAATATGACGCGGCGTCCTTAAAAGGGGCGCCCACTTATGGGTGCCTCTTCATCGATCCGACCGAATGGTCAATTAACGCACGTCGAATTGCTCTCAGTCAGCAGATCGGTTACCGTGCTAGTGCCGTTCGATGTATTTATATGCGAGCTCTCGAACCGGGGCTCTTACCCATGAATGATTTTTGCCGGTCGGATTGCTGATGGACGTGTGAATGAAAAAAAGATCCGGAGAATGAAAAGTACGAAACACATCAATTGGATATTTAATTCTTTATATCTTGGACGTAGAAAATGAAAAATCACTTCTTCAACTTTGATTGTGCCTCGGTTTGAGATACCGCGTATAAATACACAATTACAATTACTCACAAAACTGATTAAGTGTTACAAAATTTATGCACAGAAACATTTTTAGTTTGTAATAAGATAAAAGAATAAGAGAAAAAACACCAAAAAATTTTATATAGCTTATATTTGATCAAAAAAATATTTAAATAATTTTTTGAAATTTTTAGAACACATCAATTTTGTGAATCATTGTATCTTATAATAAAAAGAATAGGACTCACCAATCGATGTACGAAGCAGCAGAAGTTGATGACATTCTGTAACAAAAAAATAAAAAATTATATTAACAATTAATTCTTTAGAAAGTACAAGATAATTTATAATTTATTACACTTAATACGGCAATTTCAACAAAATAACTTTAATAAAATTCCAATCATTCAATTATATAATTCTAAATATTTAAATAACTAACAAAATAAATAACCAAATTCTAGAACTTGTCATGCTTATACATTTTTATATATTTCTAAATTTAATATTATAATTTTATTCATTCAGAGCTGTTTGAGCTGTTCATCGAAAAGAAACAAACGGACGAATAAACGGACGAAATCAAACCCTTTCCTTCCGCTAAATTGGCGAGATCAAAAAGAAAAAAAAATCCGTCACATTTCGAAATACGTAGGCGGACAGCGGCACGTGCCTCACAATAGAGCTCGTTAGCGATTTCGTATGATTTTCTTTTT